GAGTGTTTTTAAAAAAATGTATACTAATTTCACAAATGTAGAGATTTTCTCAAGCCGCTGGTCTGGAGTCAAATTTTCCCTTCTCACTATCAGTTAGTTTGGATTTGGAATAGAGAAACTTCTCCTAGACCAGCAGCATTACTGTCTATCTGTATTCATATATACTACACACATAATGCCTGTGACCCAATAATATCCAATATATCATATACAAAGAAAATACATTATTGATGAATCAATAATACAATATTGATTAATATAAATTATTATTATTATTATTATTATTATTACTACTAATAATAAAAATATGATTTCCAAAACCAGTTTTATCCCTCCTGCTGTTCTGAACACAGTTGCTAAGGTAAACATAAGTACTCAGCTCCAAAAGAAGAGTAGTTATTTGTAGGGCTCTTCAAGCAGCAATCATCAACAGTGAGCACATTCAGCTCAATCAGATGGGCAAAACTAGCTCTTCTATTAAACAGAGTGTAGGATACAGACATTTGAGAGCATTAGTGGTATTCTGTAAGAGGCACAATTTAGATTGTCTCATAATAATCATGTTCAAGCAACATAAAATCTGTATGTTTAATGTCTGTCAGCTGTTCCTTTTATATTGATCAATTCTCCCTCCTGCTGCCTTGACAGCTTACAATTTTAGCATACTTTGGTCACCATACACTCTAAAAAACAATTCTAGTAATGCACTCCCTTACAGATATGGGATGTTGTTTGCAACCCATTTTACTTCCATACTTTGAAGTATTTCCAAGAAAAAATGTAGGGTGGGACTTCATTTTATCTATCAGGAATTGATTGCAAAAAGTGTAAGAGAACTAAACATAAATATTTATGTAGGCTTATCTATGTATAGTTTTCACTAAAATGTTATTATGCACAAAAGATGCCTGATTAACCTCATGTTTCCTCAAATGCTTTGGAAGCATTAAGGGAAAAAAATAATTCCTTACAACTGCAACCTCTTCAAGATTCGTCCTTCTTCAAAGTGCAAGAATTCAAAGAAAAAGAAGTGCAAGAGGAACTTGCTCGCTTCTCCTTCCTTTCAGAGGAAGAACGAATATTTAAATTTTGATTAAAGAACTTGAATTTATTTTATTTGGAATAACATGGACCAATGAAGAGTTCACAGTAAGTCCAATAGCATGCAGTAGGAAAATAATAAAGGTTTTAAGTTGACTCATACTTTTATACAAATACATACAAATGTTCTGTCTTTTATTGGCAGAACTGCCAGCTGAAGAGGGCATGCCAGCTCTCTGAAAAGAAGCCTTAAGAAAATATTCATAAACACTTTGCAAACATTTTGTTGTTGTGTAAAAAAAAATCTCTTTTTGCACTGTAAATCCATTTTTAGGCAGTTTGGGACAACAAAGCATGATGCATGCATAGTGCTTGTCCTTGTACCCTCTGTGATGGCCCCTGACAGAATGAGGCTGCTTGGAGTGAGTAGAAAGTATGGAGTATGGGGGTGTGCTAGGGAGGGGGTCTAGTTTCCTGTCATGTCATGCGCATGTTGGACATTTTTTTTTGTTAGTGTGCGATGTAATGGGGTGGCGACAGATGGGATCTTTTAGCTGTGAATAATAATTTAGCATAGAATGCAATAGGCAAGGCAAGCTTATTTATATAGCACATTTCGTACACAATGGTAATTCAAAGTTCTTTACATAAAAGAAAGTAAAATAATCATAAAATATAATCACAAAAATAAAACAAGGAATTTAAAAACTTTGAAAATGATTTAAAATTTTATTTTAAATGAATTTAAGACAGTTAAAAAACAGCTTCAAGCGGTTAAGTGCATATGGGTTCTGCTCTTAGTTTGTTCACTTTGACTTCCATTTCAGAACAAAAGGAGAAATTTTTAATTATGAACTGGTTGGAGCTTTCAGACACTCACAATTACAATTATCAATGTAGTCCATATGATTGTGAACAAATCTTTCAGACTGTTTCGTGAACTGGATCAACTGATTCACTGAAAATATCGGACTCTAAGATTCTATTCATTCTTTTCTCATGAACTCTCAAGAACAATTCAAGAACCACTGCAGATATCAAGATTTTCGATGTATAATGATTTAATTTTCCAGTTTGTTCCTCTCAAAATCACTATTGAATGTCTTCAGAAGACATATGAGTCATATGGACCACTTCAATTTATGGTGTTTTTTCCCCCCTAATTTTGGAGCTTGACAGCCCCAGTCCTGATTTACTTCACTCTTGAAAATAAAGGTTCTTTATTGGATTTGGTGGTTCCATGAAGAACATGTAACCTTTTCATTGCACAAAAGGTTCTTCATAGTAAAAATTCACGCTAAGAAAAAAAAATTCCTTTTAAGAACTGTTGGGTGAAAGGTTCTTTACGGAACCCAAAAATGGTTCTTCTTTCACATCACTGCCAAACCCCCTTTTGGAGCTTTTCTGAAAAGAGTGACCAGGATATTATATAAAAAAATCACCTTTTGTGTTCCACAGAAGAAAACAAGTGATACAGGTTTTGAATGCCATGAAGATTCTGTCATCATTTACTCATCTTCATGTTGAGATGAATTATCCCTTTTTATGGACTGTTGTGTGGTGGAGTCTTCTTAAAGGGTTAGTTCACTCAAAAATTTAAATTAGCCTGTGTTTTACTCACCCTCGAAGCATCCTAGGTGTATATAACTTTCTTCTTTCAGAAGAATCCAGTCGAAGTTATATAAAAAATTGTCCTGGCTATTCCAAGCTCTATCATTGCAGTAAGCGGGTGTTGCAGTTGAACAATCCACAAGTCGTCACAAAAATTAAAATTAGCCTGTGTTTTACTCACCCTCGAAGCATCCTAGGTGTATATAACTTTCTTCTTTCAGAAGAATCCAGTCGAAGTTATATAAAAAATTGTCCTGGCTATTCCAAGCTCTATCATTGCAGTAAGCGGGTGTTGCAGTTGAACAATCCACAAGTCGTCAAACAAAGCACGCGCATCCATAATAAAACGTGCCTCACACGGCTCCGGAGGGTGAATAAAGGCCTCCTGTAGTGAATCCATGCGTTTTTATAAGAAAAATATCCATATATCTCTGAGATATGCTAGCGAAACTTTGCTTCCTTTGCTCCTATAAACAAACTCGCGAGACTAGCATACCTCAGAGGCGCGTGCGCTGCACATACGTGCTGCATCATCCGCCGAAACTGCTTCAGTGTATGACACTCAGCGGAAGTGAGAGAAAAGTGTTTATTATGTTTGAAATATGGATATTTTTCTTACAAAAACGCATGGATTCACTACAGGAGACCTTTCCCCCCGGAGCCGTGTGAGGCACATTCATTATGGATGCACGTGCTTTATTTGGCGGCTTGTGGACTGTTCAACTGCAACACCCGCTGGCTGCAATGATAGAGCTTGGAATAGCCAGGACAATTTTTAATATAACTCTGACTGGATTTGTCTGAAAGAAATATAACTCCGACTGGATTTGTCTGAAAGAAGAAAGTCATATACACCTAGGATGCCTCGAGGGTGAGTTAAACACAGGCTTATTTTTATTTTTGGGTGAACTAACCCTTTAAGAAAGCACAAACGACCCTGAAGTACCCTTACTTCCCACCCCCACCAGCCATGCTAGACCCCCTCTTTACTCGTGCTGCTGAAATCACGACACCAAGCCAGAGAGCTGACATTTCAATAACATATAGATGACACATGCACACACACACAAAGAGGCGTCTCTTCACACTCACAGACGTTTCAGAGATGGACTGTCACATGTCACAGGTCTAATATAGTTAAACAACATAGACCTTAAGAGGTGCAATCTCTTTGAAGAAATTGTGTGTGTACCAACTCACTGTCGCAATGATTGATAGAAGACTTATAGCGGAGACTGGGGCTTGTTGTCACTGTTTTTTAAGCAAGTTAATATTTCTCAAGGTAGGTTTTTATAAAGTCAGTCTATTTAAAAAGAAAGGGTTCCAAAAGAGGGGTTTTGCAGCAATGTCATTGAAGACCCCTTTTGGAACCTTTCAAGGCCTGTTCACACCAAGATTGAACTATAAAGATAATTATAATGATAATTATATTAGCATACACAGCAATGCACAATTTAATTCCGTTTATTATAAGCGTGCTGCCGCTTTGTTGTCTGCCTTTTTAAATGCTTCAGCTCTTTAAAGTTTGGAGGATACTTATTGGATGTCAATGTTTTTATTGCTCATCAGCTGGAAAAAAAAAATCTGAAAGTAATTCCAACTATATAATTCCTCTGTGTTATTAACATTATGTGATGTGGATATTATAGATCCACTATTATCCACGATTGTGGATCATAGAATTAGAATGGTAATTACAACTTTATTATTGTTATCATTAGTTATTGTCCTCGGTGTGAACAGGCCTTTAAGGTCAGCATGAAACAGAAATTCACCAGAACCAAGTCCTGCCCTACATTTTTTTTTTCGATAGTCCATTACCCTCAGATGTTCATCACAATACAGAAGAAAAAAAATCTGTTGCTACTTCTGTTACATTGCAATTTCCATTAGAAAGAACCTTTTGTGGAATGGAAACCTTTATTTTCAGGTGCACAGGGGAAAAAAATATGTTATTTAACAAACATTGACCTTTTGTGACAACATGATGCTATAGTGAGTTTTCACAGTGGAACATGCCAGGAAACAAGCACATTTTAAACCATACAACAATTACCAATTCATTAAATAGAAAAAGTTCTAACATTTAAAACAACTTCCCCCAATAACAATGTACATCCAGGCATCAAAATAGACTTTATACTTGTGAGCCTTCCCTTAATGCATTTGTGCTGTAGAGGGTTAAGTTATGACTGAGGTTGTGGTCTAGATGTGAATTGCGGTGGGACAGGCCTATCATGTATGCCACAGGGAATGTCAGTGTCACGACCTTTGTGAGCATGTAGACAAAGGGATCGTGATACTTTTCTTATCTGACTCGCCATCTGTGGTGGTGTTGAGGGGGGCCAGGGAAGTGAAAACAATTTGACCATGAAATCTCCGCCCACGAGTTGACAGAGCAAAGCGCTAAATTGGTGTTCAGGGAGGAGTCAGAGAGAATCCCTGAATGTACCAACACCACTAATATATCATTTCTAATAGCATATCTATTGATTAACAGCAGCAGAACGCGAATAGAGTGAAAGAAGTAAAAAAGGAAGGGCGTTGAAGTTGTAGAAGAGAGTGTCCCTCCCTCCAGGCTGAACTGTAGAAAGCGTCTCTGGTCTGCGCTACCAGCGAGAGGGACGCGAGATTAGGGCAGCAGTTTGGGGGTCTCTGGAATTTATTAGCTGACGCTGGAAGCTCGGTGTTTTTTTCTGGATTCGGAGCAGATCTACAGGTCCGCCAGTTTTTCAGTCGGCATTCATTCACGCAGACCTACGCCCATCACATTTTACCTCGTTTCATCTCCTGGAACTCAGGACAGCGAAGACGAACGGGTGTTGTTTGGATTGTGAGGTGAGATTCTCGGTAAACCGAACTCCGCTGGTGTTTACGTGAATGCAAACTTGTGATAGCTGGTCAGTGAGATACGAAGCTCTCTTTATCTATTCATTTAATTCAAATTTCGAAACTCTGCCATGTATGGTTATCTCTTAAGCAGGGTAGAACTAAACAGATAAACACTCATATGTGTATTGTTTTGATACATTACAGTGAGATGGTGCGAGGGTTCACTCGCTTTTTACACGTAAATGTAAGTTTACTGTAGCCTAATAACTGTTTGAGAAGCTTGAAGGCAGAAAACACTTGGAATTAAAAACAGTCGTTTATGTATTCAGCTAACATTGCGCTTCTTTCGCTCCCAAACAAACAATTTCCTAACGTTACACTCGCTCGTATTTCACCGATGACGGCGCGTGTCACCATCCGGCGGTTTCTGTTAAATTGAATTAACGTTAGTTCAGTAAAGCTCGGGGAAAGTCTGGGTGGGATGAGGAGACATCAAGCTGGCGGTTTTCCCACGGGGTGTGACAGCAGGCAGCGTGTGTTGTCCAGGAGGTCCCGTCATAACTGTAGTTTATCCCCCCAGACGCACAGGTCAGCAGATGGAGGAGGCAGCCCTGCCGACGGGCGTGAGTTCAGTGCCAGCCAGTTTAAAACAATCAAACCGCATCTATTTCAGACCGCCGGTCATCAGTGTGTGAAGTGAAAGAGATAAATCTATCTATCTATCTATCTATCTATCTATCTATCAGTTTAGCAACTCAGATATAATCATTGAACCCCTGACATTCCCTTTAACAAAGAGTGACATTCTCCAGGCTTTGAAACAATGGTGCACCATTAGACATGAATTATGGGGGTTTTCCTGAAAACTAAAACCATGTATGAGTTATCTTTGGCCATATTCCAGAAGCAACAAAAACAGTGCCGGGTTAGGTTAATGTATCCTGTTCAATATTTCTGAAATCTTCTAATCTTTGTATGCACTTAACCAGCAATATTAATTGTTAGCCTACTATGCCTTCAGAAGATTGTTTTTCCAGCCTACATGATCTTCACAGCCTGTCAAACTACATCAAATATGGTGGTATATAGTAACTAGATCTGCCATGCAATCAAATCTTATCTAATCAGGTGTTACTGAGAAGAACTTGCAAACCTTTCAATTATGTTGTTGTTCTTGAAACTGAGTAATTTGTGAAGTCTCTCTTTGAGACAGAGGGTATTATTTCAAACAAAGCCATGCCATATATTCTCGAGGTTATTGAAAGATTTGTAAGTACACGGGACTTAAATCATACATTCCAACTGTCTAACTTCATGCGTGCTGTAACTCTATATTCATTAGAGGGTTTTGGTGAATTTGTCCACCTATTTCTGGACCTTATTTTTGTAGTCTGACATAAAGGTTTGCTGCACTTGTTCCACAAAGCAGACTCCGACCAGTTTTCAATTAGTCAGGCACTTGTGCGTGAAGATATTGGCTCTGAGGGATCCATTAATGCCAGCCTCTGGTGGCTTTGTAGTTTAGCTAAATGCTGATGTCAGAAGCACTCAAAGACTTCACTCGCACAGCTCAACACGGGCTCAGAGGTAAGACTAGAGCCTTAACCTTTACATTCCTCTGAGCTATTGCAAGGTATTCGAGAAGAACCAACACAATCCCATGGCAGTTTGTAACTGTATAATGTTTTGGTGAATTGGGCTAGTTCATATAAATCTCATTTGTATGTTTTCGTACAATCTGCTTATGGAACAGTTATGTTTGAGGGTGGGGTTATGGTGGACCTTCATGTTTACTTTTGTTTTTAAAAATGATTCACATTGTAAAATGTGGACATCAGAGGCCTAGAAATGATAGTGTTTGGTCTAATCTACAAGCTTTGTCCTATGGAAAAAGCCAGATCAATGTGATACCTCATTAGCCCACTTTTTAAATGCTCTTTGTTAAATTTTTTTCACATGGATAAAGAAATGAATCATGACAATTATTTATTTAGGATCAATTTCTCCTTTTTAGATTAACGGTCGCTATTGTTTGTATTGGTTGATAATTATCCAGTGAAATTTCTCTTTACAGACATGAAAATGAACCGATTGATTATTTAGAGGTGTATCAAACTAACCTAAGAACTGAAGCGGTGGACTGATGTGTTATGGAAGAGGGAGTCTGTGTTGTTCTGCTTGAGCAGACACAGAATCGTTCAGTCACTAAAGCATTGAGCTACTGGAAATGAATCTTTGGTTCTTCGTGGCGGGAAGTCCCTGTTGAGAGCAAGAGGCCCGTCTCCAGGCTGTAATATTAATATCAGTTGACATGGTGGCAAATGAACTGGTCGTCAGGGCTGGTTTGATCTCCACTGCAGTTCCCAGATCTCTAATCGGCGCAGGTGATTCATTCCACCCTGAGCTCTTATCCAGCCTCCAGTGAAATGCCCTTATTGACAGCAGAGCGAAGGCCCTGGGAGAAAAGGAGGTCAAGCCATCACTTTCTTCCAAGTTTCAGGCATCAGAGCTACACGAGCTGGCAGTTTGTAGTCTGCAGAGAATCTGGAATGAGATAGAGTATCTATTGCCTTGAAAAGAAAATTGCTTTTCCCCCCATTTGCTGGAGGACTCTCATCTAATTCATATGACATGGGGCGCTTCACCTGGTAATGGGTTTTGGGGCCTCGTTGCCTCTGAGACATATGAAATTTGCAAAGGAGCTGTGTAGATTAATTACCATGAAGAATATGTGTTCGTTGGTCATAGATTCTTCAAAAATTAAGAGGCTTGTCAAGTATGACCTGCCGCTGTAGAACTACTAGATGCTGCTAGATGCCTTTGTCCTAGAAGGCTTTGAGAAACTTTAGAGGATGCAGCTGAGGGCTCCAAAGTTCATTCAAGACAGGGATGTCCACTGACCCTGGTAAATAACAGGACCTCTTTATCAAGATGAAACAGACTGCTTGTTTGTGTTAGGCATAATACTTATCTATTATTCAGGCAATTTCCTTCAATATTAGTGTGCCAGGGATATAATGAGGTGAAAGTATGCATATAACAAGCTGTGCTCTACAGATAGCCGAGTGTCTCATTATTTAATCTTCACCCACAAGGAAATGCAGATTTTAGATGTATTACAAACTTGATTTTTCCACACTCCAGTTTGAAGTGTAGGTTTTATATGGAAGGAATCTTGTTGGTGTGTCCATTCAAAATGTTATTTTCCTAAATATCTGCATTTTAGTTACAGATAGAAATCTTGCTACAGGTACAGTGATTAAGCAGGAGGAGAATAATAGAGACGTTTGGAGAGCAATTAATCGCAACATGAAAATTTGATACCGCCATATCCCTAGTTTGGAGTCAAGGTCTCCTTAAGATGCTTATTAAATTCAGTGATTAAGGTGACTCTTTCATTTGAAGAGTCTATTTAGTGAATAGTTGAAGCAGTAGACATTGGTACTGGGCTTGATTTTTTATTTGAGAGGAATACAGTGACTTTTTTTAAGCTTGCAAAGAATAACTTGAACTTGCTTGCTGTTAATGCCTGCTGGTAAAAAAACAGTTAATTTAACTTTAATAAGCTGGATTATGGGATGCCATTTTGGTGCCTGTATATATATTGTACATGCGATATATAGCATATGTATCACAATTGATACAGATAATCTTCAATTTTTACTAGTATTTGGTACTGACTGCTGAACACCAGCCTGGTCTTGTTTATAAGTATTAATATGTAACATTCACAGGTATAAAATGTACATTTTATATATTTTGATTGACTTGATTGACAATATTTTATTGAAAAAATGCCAAAAGTGGTATCAAAATTAGTCCAAATAATGATGCGTTGAATGATGCAGTCACAGTTATCTCTGATGGAATTTTGTGTGAGATACAGAGCACAATTTAAGTTGTTAATTGTTGAAAATATTATCTCGATCCATTAAATGAGAGCTGACTAAGAATGACTGAGGCATGACTAAGACAACGCCTTTTGTGTCCCACGGCAAACTAAATAAATATTACATGATAAGTAATGGTTAAACAATTACAGAAATGTTATTCATTTTAAAGTTTTAAAATGTAGTCTTTTTAAACATTATGTAATCCTTCGAAATGAGCTGGCAGCAGAAATCACAGAACATTAAGTAAATGAGTAAACTGTGTTATAAATAAATAAATATGATTGAAAACTGAATTCAATATAATCAAAATGTTAATGCCACAATTGCAATACTCATAAGGATTCATTTGTAAGTCTTTAAAGTTGTTCATACATAAATAATTTGTTTTAGATGTTAAAACGTCAGTATCGTACATTTAGATGCTGTAAGTTTTAGTGTCTATGCAAATGTTAGTAAAAGTACATGTATAAAAGAATATGGTAATTCAAACTTATAAAAACCATTTAACATTTAAATGTACTATTAACTGTTAAAACTGTTAAATGTAATATAATTTTTCACTGTATATGGTAAAGGAACTTACAGGTAACAACAGTTTTTGCTGTGATAATAACACTGCATTTTGCTGACAATTAAAAATAAGGAACATTTCTCAAACTCAAACCATGGGCTGTTTATGATAGCGGCACACACAGTTGTGTATCCTCAGCTATTGAGTAAAAGCTCTGTTGATCTGATTTGCTCTCTTTATGACATTTGTACGGCCTGAACACAGACAGTTGTTTCTCTCTGCATAGGCTCACATTATAGTAAAGGCCTGTTTCTGCCTTTGACACAGTTAAACTCCTCACTACTCCTGACTCAGGCATATTTGTGTGCTTCTGATCTTTCTCTTTTTTTCTTTCTCATTCCAGTAGAAGTTTATTCCCCAGATTTTTCCCTGTACTCCCCACCTCTGCTTCCCCCCTCCTCTGGGTTTTTGGTTTTGGTAACAGTTCTGCGGTCGCTCCTGTGTATTCAAGTGCACATAGCAAACTCAAAAGCCATTATTCTACAGACAGACATTCCTTTGTGGAAAGCATTTGGTAGGTTTTAGTCGCTTTCTGTGTTCAG